AGAGGGACATCCGTTTTCCATTCTCACAGGGATGTCATCCCGGGCTCTGGGCCCTGGTGCTAAGGTCGAGCCAGTCGACCTGCAGCTGCATGTGGGCCCCGTGGCCCTGGGGTCGGCACACCCCTGCCTGCTGTGCCCACTGCACCCCTGTACACAGGTGTGCTAGGCCAGTCAGTGCTGACGGTTTCCAAGACAAGGTGAGGTGTGGGGACACTTTCTAAAAGAAAATCATCCCAGTAGTAATTTAATATTATGTAATAATAGCTGGCAGAGAAGGTTGAACGCCATTCATGTAACAAATTTACATGTTGGCCATGGGGAATACTGGGCACTATGTGCTAGGAACACAAAGTTGGGGAGAATAGACCTGTAGGAAAACCATTGGAAATTGGATTATAAAATAGGCATCAAAAAAACCCTACATGAAAAGTGCGGTTGGATGCAGAGTTTGGTGGTGTCCTCTTAAATCTAAGGTAGGCAAAGAACTAATGCTTGGGATGGACTGGACGCTTGCTTTGAAGTCATGAGCCATGGCCCCCACTGAAGCCAGGCCAGCTTGACGCTTCACAGGCTGTCCTCCTGAGGCTCTCCCCTTTGCATTTCTAAACGGCAGAAAACGAATTTTAAAGTCGTATTTTATTTACGTGCCAGACCATGTTTCTTCAGGACCCAGCAGCCCCATTCCAGTGGAGCCCACTGGTGGTCAGTGGGAGTTTATTTATATATAACTCTTATTAATCTCTTTCTTTCTTCTCACACGCTGGATGCTTCAGTACCTGGCCAAATTTTATTTAATTATTAGATCTTTGGGGTTCTTGGCAAATCCATAGGTGTACTTAATTTTTTACCTGTTGTGTGTATAGTACCAGAAAAATCACATAAGCCAATTATAGGTGTCTAATATTAGTAATTGTAAGATATTGAAAAGACATGCTAATTATATACTTTGAGGAGAAACGTAAAGTGATTTTAGAATTGGGAGGGGCCTTTAGCGGTGGGAGAAAGGATCACCCCTCCTTTTAGAGGTGATGTAAATTAGGTCTGGATCCTTTGCTGAGGTTACAGAGCTGGAGATTGTAGAGGAGTAAGAAAAGAGGTCGTTGCTAACCTTCCTTGAGTTGAATACTGTGATTGAACCATCTGGAAGCAGAACTTGCCAGTAAGGCTCCAGAAATATGCTAGAAAGGAAGAAAGTGAAAGAATGGTGGTTAAATTCATCCAGCATGGTCTGTGGGTAGGACATGCGAGGTGGAGGTGCTGAGCCCTATGCCATCCTGATCCTGGAAGGCTGGGTGCTGACGCCTGCCCACTGGGCTCTTGCTCCCTGGAGGGGGACAGGGGGAATGCTGGTTTGGGAGATGAGGTGGCCCCAGGGACAGGCTCCATTGCTCGCCTCCTGATTGGAGGCCACCTGGACCGGTGAGGAATTGGGGGTGTGTGGCCATTGTGCCCAGGGCAGGTTTGTGTGCCCTCCGGTGCTGGCGCATCAGGGAGCTGCTGGGCCAGCTGGCAGGGAACCAGGGTCCCAGGGCAATGAAGAAGGGCGGGGGCTCTGGGTCAGACCTGCACCGTGGTGCGGAACTTGCAGATTGTGGATTGCCGTGGGGGTGGGCCTGCGGCAGAGGGCGGGTGTGGGGCAGCCAGGAAACTCCTGCAGAAGCCTGGATGATTTAACAGATACAGTCAGGATGGAGAGAGTAAAGGGGGTTTCGAAATGTTCTGGGGATAAGCTAGGTAGAGAGAGAGAAAGTGCATGTGTGTGTGTGTGTGTGTGTGTGTGTGTGCATGTGTGTGTGTGTGTGTGTGCATGTGAGCTCACTCTAGGAGGGTCTTGAGGACCGAGACTAGATACCAGTCTATTAGTTTGCTCGGGCTGCTGTAACTGAGGGCTACCAACAGGGGGCGCTCCAAACAACGCAGATTGATTCTCCCACCATTCCTGAGGCCAGAAATCAGGTCTCGGTGTGGGTAGGGTTGATTCCCCCTGAGCCTGTGGGAGTGGATCTCTTCCAGTCCTGTCTCAGACTTCTCGCGGTTTGGGGGCATCTACGGTGTTTCTTGGCGTATAAAGCTCCTGCATCCATCTTCACCAAAATATCCCTTGTCCAGGGACTCTGGATAAGGGGCCCATCCTATGCTAGTATGAGCTCATCTTAACTAATCACATCTGCAGTGAATTTATTAGCACATAAGATCCTTTTCTGATGTATTGGGCGTGAGGACCTCAGCATATGAATTTGGGGGGGAGGGGACCCAGTTCCGCCCATAACAGAGGTAATGGTGGGCCACTGCCTGAAATTAACATTGCTCTTTTAGGATGTGATAATTAGCAACTTAACAGATTCTGGAGCACTTAATGATTACTGGGGGTTTTTAAATACCTGCTGGAACAACAGGGTTCCCACAGACTCCCGAGGGCCCCAGACCTCAGCCCTTCCCTCCGTTCTCCCGAGCACAGGCAGGACTATGTTGCTGAAAGGACATTTGTGAGGTGCTACCCAGACCAGTCCCTGCCACCAGAGGGCCCAGCAGATGTGACATGTGAACTGCCTTGAAATCACTCAGAGCACCAGTATTTCATTTCCTGCGACGTGAGAGCTCTAAGTTCCACATCAGATCTCTCGACGGACGTGATCTGAAGTGCTGTGCTCCCTCGGCTTCTCTGTAGTGGCCATCACCTAACTCAGGCATTGAGATCGACCCACCGGGAGTCAGGGGGAGGAATCGTGAGCTTGTACACAGATTCCCGTGGCTTTTCCCTTGTCCCCCTCAGTGTGACCCATCAGATCTCTACAAACAGGATGTGAGGGGAAAGATTTTTCCCAAAGTAAAGAATAGATTTCCCATCTGACATTGGTTTTTCATGAGAAGTTGAATTCGATTCATTCTCGCCAAGACATAGAAGGTTTCCAACATCTCTCTCTCTCTCTTTTTTGAAGATTTTATTTATTTATTTGAGAGAGAGAGAGATCACAAGTAGGCAGAGAGGCAGGCAAGGGAGCAGGCTCCCTGCTGAGCAGAGAGCCCAATGCGGGGCTCAATCCCAGGACCCCGGGACCATGACCTGAGCCGAAGGCAGAGGCTTAACCCACTGAGCCACCCAGGTGCCCCAAGCATCTCTCTTTTTTAAAGGTTTCAAAAATGCGGAAGTGATCCTGATTTCTGTTGCAATAGCAATATAAGGAGGCTTATACGTTAAGTGTATCTTTTATAAAAGCAAGTGATAACTCTTGGCAGAAATTTTGAATAGCACTAGTAGTCCCTGTGAGTGATTGCTGCCCTTCGGGTGGGGCGGGGGCCCCATTTTATAGAGGGGGACACTGGGGTAGAGAGAGTTGAATAAGGATAGCGAAGTCCCTGGGGTGGCATGTTGTGGCCCCGCGATCCGCACAGAGTGCTGGCCTGGCCTTGGAGTCTTGTGGCTGCGTCCCCATGGGGGCATGCGGACTCTGCTGGGCGCCCAAGGTTTCCTAGCTCATTTTACAATTGCGGCAGCCCAGCAAGGACAGGGTGCTCTACTTTTCTCCTTATACGGAGTCTGTGATTCGGGGACCATAGGTCATCTGCCCGTCTTCCTACAAGTGCAGAAAGTGGGCCGAGCTTGTCCGGATCCAGCGAGCAAACATGCCGGTCTCTGTGCTCTGCCCGCAGTCTTTGATAGTGTCCTTGCGGGGATGGGGGGGGAGCAGAAGGAGCATCGGTCTATGCTGTTGGAACGTTGGAGAGTTGTCTTCGGTTTTTGTTACTGAGCAGACTGAACAGCAGATGGAGCGCGTGTGTTTTGCGGGCCCAGGAAGGAGAGGAGAGTGGGGGCGTGCATCTGCATATGTGCAGATGTGGGCCTGCTTCAAAAGGTTGGTCCCCCGGCTGGCCTGCCACTGTGCACATAGCAGGTGCCCGTCCGGAGCTGTCGAGGAGGCCCGGGAGACAGAGGGCCCACTTGCATCCTCCAGGGCTGGTGGGGATGCTCTGCCCGTGTGGTTCTCTGGGAAGTGGTCGTCCGGGGCTCAGGTGGTGTTTCTGGAAGGCATCTGTGCCGAGGACAGAATGAGAGCAGGTGCTGATGCATTCCTTTCTCAGAAACAATTCAGAATCCTGGTGAGGACTCAAAGCCCAGAATCTCGAAAGTGCTTTGTCTTTGGAGGTGGCTGAGGGAACCAGAAGTGGACATCCTTCCCACGTCCAGGAGAAGCCTGGTGGGGTGGTCTGGGGTGCCACGAGGAGGTGCACAGGACAGTTGAGTGTCCCTCCCCAGCTAGGCGTGTGCGGGGCTGAGATGAGGAGGGCCAGCCCCCCTTCCCGTGCGCACACACACACACACACACACAGCATCCCAGCAGGGAACCTGGTGGTTTCTCGCTAACACGGCGTGCTCTCTAACCCCCCCTCGCCAGCCAGCTGCCCCGCTCTGTCTCGACTTGTGCGAGAGGCCATCCGTAGTTCTGTCTAACACGTGTGTGCTAGTCGAGCGTCCTCCCCGTGCTCGTGCCCCGTGAATACGGAAACACCATTCCCATGATGTTCTGTGTTTTCCTTTCAAAAACTGGGTTTCTCTTGAGGAGAATACAGGTTCTCAGCCCTTGAATTTATCAAAATGTTGTAGATTAGGCACCTGTTGAACATGAAAAATTCATTTCAGTTTTGCAAACCCAACAAGAGAATGCTAATTCCTGTGCTGTTTCTGAACTCTGCATCAATGTGTTCCCAGGGAGAGCGAATTCCCGAATTTACAAACAAAGGCTATGATCAGATGCTTCCCTTCTCAGCCACGGGTGACCCCGGCATTGCCTGGGAGGCTGTGGACACAGGTCCTTAATGACAAATACTTAAAATCTGAGTTCAGTACTTCTTTTAAAATCCAGTGGTTGCTGGTCCTAAATACTGAGAGTTGCCTCCTGGGCGACAGCCTAGGGTGTATTTTTCCACAAGCGAAGCCCACGTCTGTTTGCCCTCCTCACACTCTGTCTTTCCTCTGTAACGAGATGTTTTGTGTGTGGCAGGTGGCAGGTTCAAGAAGGAGATCGTTGTTGATGGACAGAGCTACCTGCTGCTGATTAGAGATGAAGGGGGCCCCCCAGAGGCGCAGGTGAGTACTACAAGCAAAAAAATGGTAAGCAGCCTCTCACCTTTCTCCCTTGTTAAGGTTCTGGTTCAACAGGTGATTCTGAAATCTGTCAGGTGTGTGCAAGAAAGGTGACTAGAGCCCCCATGAACACGTTCTGTCTAATAAACTAATTCTGTTGCTCCTGCAGACACAATCCTGGAGGGAAGTTAGGTCTGTGTGTGATTGAGAAAGTTGCTGGTCTAAAGTCTGGAAATCCAATGGGGGCTGCCATGCTGCTTTCCGGCCTTCTTGGTGCAGGTTAACTCTACTGAAAACCAGTGTGTGGTATGGTGTGGTTTCCTTGGAGGTTCTCTCAAGGCTGGGCATCCTGGAGATCAAAAAGCTTAGATGTGGAAAACTTTTCCTTGGTTTACTCAATCTCCAGTTTATTATTTTATTTTATTATTTTACATATGTAATAATTTACTAGCCAAGCCCATATTACAACCTGAATCCAGTCAGCAGCGAGCGAACGCCTGCCCTGTGTGGGTTCGCTCCTGTCATCCTTGAGACGACCCCGGGGAGCATGCTCTTAGGAATCCTGTCTTCACGGAGGACCCTGATGCCTCCGTGGAGGGGCACAGACTGGGGGATGGAACCAGAACCCCCCGGAGATCTCTGTCTTGGCCTCTGGCCATGAGACTGTGTTGACCAGTCCTTTCTTCTAGCTGTACTTTGTTCAGGAGCCTTCTTTAGCCCAGAAGCATACCCTAGTTAAAGATTTCTACCGTGGGGGGATATCAACAAAAAGCCTTTCAAAATTAGGGACAGGATTTTGTACAAAATTAGACAGTGTGTTTGAATATCCGGGGCTGGGGGGCATGTCTGTTTTCCCGTTAACCTTCTCAGGCACATGGAAACCTGATCTTTGTTTTCATTGTTCCAGAATAGTTCATGCACCTCACCTGAGAGAACAGCTTCATGAACAGGATTGTAAGGCTTCTTTGTGGCTACTAGTGTCCTCTTAGGTTTGTGGAAAACCTGCCGGTTCACCGGCTTTTTGTGTGTAGCAGTTGGTGGGAGCAGCCATTGGGATGGGTGAGGGCTGGCTATGGAGTGCTCACCACCTGCTGGGTGCTGGGGCAGCCCGGCTATGACCACGGGAGAGTGGGATGTGGCTTGCTTTTCCTCTGCACGGGGGCTCACACAGCCTTGCTCCAGTCGTAGAGGACCATGAGAGCTCCCTGGGTGCTTGTGCTCGTGCGTGTGGGGAAGCTTCACTGCACTTCTCGGAAGAGAAAGGGAAAACATACCTTGAGGTGGAGAAAGGGGAAAGGAGAAGCCCCTGGTCCCCTGGGTCCTGGGCCCTTTGCAGGAGCATCAGGCCTGTCTCAGGATTCATTCTTAACAAGATCCTGGTCTCATTTAATTCTGCTGTTATCATTTGGACTTCGTCTTTACTTAAATTTTATTATGTAGAATTTTCACTTATAACTGAATCATTTTTCTGTTGCAAGTCAGAGCTTACCCCACAAAAAAATTCCCCCAGATATATCAGAGCTGATGCCTAGGCCGGTAAAAGCTTACCTAGGAACTGTGGCTTCGCAGAGAAAGTAAACAGGATTAGTATTATTTTTCATTTTCATGTAGAAAGAGCAGGGTCTTAGGTGGCAAATTGGCCTGCTCTGGATTCTGCTGTTGCAACCATGTGACGCTGGGGGGCTGAGCCTCCAGGGCCCCCGTTCACTAGGCTCCAACCTTACGAGTGGTTTAAGTACTGAGTGGGCCAGTACATGCCTGGCTGTAGTCACTTGCCCCGAGTAGAAGTGATGGAGGCTTCACCTGGATGCAGGTAAAACAGGAACAAAATGGCAAGAGTCAGGCTGTTGTGGGATTTTAATGTTTTTCCCTGATTTTTGCTCATTTTGTTGATTAGCTTGGTGTATTTCTCTAACCATGGTTTATCATATCCTCAGGGGGCTTTCAGAATTCACTGGCAGAGGTGCCTGGCTGACTCATTTGGTGGAACACACGACTCTTGATCTTGGGGTTGTGAGTTCGAGCCCCACGTTGGGTATAGAGATTACTTTAAAAAAAAAAAAAAAGGATTTAGTGGCAGCTGATATTTTCAGTAGAAAGACCTCTTCTTGTGAGAAGGAGTGGGCCACAGCCTGGGTAGAGGATTTCTGAGACGCCACGGGAGCCCGGAGAGGAGGCCTCCCCGCCCCATCTCAGAGGGGTCCAGCCAGGCTCCTGGAGGTCCTGCGGAAGGGAGTTGGTGTGAAACAAAGCTCCAGCGTCACTGTCAGCACCTGTCTTCCAATGTAGGGAAGGTTCTTCTGTGAGCCTGGGTTTGCCTTGTGTTTGTGGGACTGTGGCTGGCTAGATCGGGGGCAGAGGGTAGACGTGCCCATGGGCAAGCATGTGCAGGTTGTGTTTCTGGGAGTCCGGAGTGGCCTGGATGGGAAGGGGTCGAAGATCCACTTCCAAATGTGTCACAAGGAGGATGTTAGTAACACCAGAGCCACGTGTTACAGCCGAAGTCAGGCATCCATTGGACTTGGCCTGTGTGAGGGGACTGCCTGCCACGCACCCTGTCCTCCCGAAGACGCCGTCCCCACCCTTCTCTCCGACAGACAGCCTTGTCACTCAGCTTCCCTTCTCTCTGCCCTCTTTTCTCCCTAGTTTGCCATGTGGGTGGATGCTGTGATATTTGTCTTCAGCTTAGAGGATGAGATAAGCTTCCAGACCGTTTACCACTACTACAGTCGGATGGCCAACTATCGGAACACGAGCGAGATCCCTCTGGTTCTGGTGGGGACCCAGGGTGAGTGCCGCCCGCGCGCAGCTTGGGGGTGAAGGACCCCGGCAGTTGAATAGTGAGTGGACTCAGGGCCTGTGGTTTTGGCGTGGAGGAGTTTGAAAATGGTGTAAAGAAGAAATAATTTCCTCCTGAAGGCTTTTTCTGTGAGAATCCAGGAAACTGAAATTGTCCCATTTCCTGATTTGATTCTATGGAGAAATCACTCGGTCGGCACCTTCAGAGCAAAATCCTTCCCAAGTGCTCTCAAGAAAACAAATCTATTTTCTCTTCCTGTCATGGGATTTCTTCATTCCTTTGGGTATGTCAGATAGTTGACAAGCAATTTAAAAGCGTTTGATTTTAACTTTTGGTACATCTTTAAAATACTACTGATTTCTTATACGCAGTAGAGTTTTATTTTGCTCTCTTTGTTAATGTGTTATGATCTTTGTGTAATTTTTCACCTGGTAGGTACCTCAGTGTCTGGAATTACCTGTAAGAGTGCATTTCTTGTCTTCTGCTAGGCCACTTAACACTTGACCTCTTGCAAAGTGACAGCCCTGAAGTGTCCTTGTTCTGGATCAGATTGACTGATGGGCTGATGTCCACCATCTGGGTCTTAAGGCCACGTAGAATATTTTTAAAAATCAGATGCAGGTTGACTCTAAAGCTGCTTTGTCAGCAGTACGGGTAACTTAAAAATGATCATGTCAAGACAAACTGGATTATGCCTTCATTTTGTTGTTGTTGCTGTTCATGTGCTATGTGTGTTAATTCCTTTAGAGCGTCCACATCGGGTCTGCCTTTCTGTGCCCTGATGTGAGACTTTTCTAAACGAGAAACTGGCTGTGTGGCAGCAGGGACAGACGGCCAGCTGTGTGCATGGTATGGGGTCTTGTGTGCCAAGAGGGAGCTCAGGTGGGAAAGCAGCTGCCCTGCCACGGAGCGGTGTGGACCAGCCCCAGCATGGGCAGGTGTGTCTCATGAGAACAGAAGTGGCATGGGATCCACGGAAAGCATCATCTCCGTGTGCTAGATACAAAATGTTCGAGTCAGGTTGTCGTGGGGAGCACCCCTGCCCTCTTTTAGGGAACGTGTAATGGCCAGGGGTCTCAGGACTGAAGCCTGGGAGCTAGTGCCAGGTGGATTCCACCTACAACCAGATGGGGAAGAGGTTCTTTGTGCCCAGGGCGCCCTCTAGTGGTCGCCGGGAAACCAGGGCGGGACCTGGGGAAGTCCTGGGTTCTTCTTGCTCTAATTCACCAAACGGCCTATTGGAATGGGGCCTCCTGAAAATTCTGTGTTTTGTGGTAGGTGGCAGGATCTCCAGCAGGTCTGCTGAGAGCTGCCCTGAGGCTGGAGCGAGTCCTGCGGGCCAGCCCAGGGCATTTCTGAGCAAAGTCAGACACTGGGTGCAGCCGTCCCCCCACGGCTGTCTGAGTTCAGGGCTTTGTGTCTTTGACTCACAAGGCCTTTTTTCTGTGGACTCACTGTGCTGGGCTCAGGGACTTCCTCGGTCTGGGCAGGGAGGCGATACGTGATCCACTTGTGGTCATGTCGTCTTAGACAACCGTGGTTTCGGTAGTAGAGGGTGAAGTGTCTGGTCCTGGGTTTGGGGGCTGGCCCGCCCTGGCATCAGAGCATCCTGGCTCTGTGACCTAGACTGCTCCCTGCCCGGACTCTGGCTGGGCTGCAGTGCAGGAGCTCCCATGAGGCTCCTGAAGCACCCGCGGGCACGTGAATGTACTACAAGCGGTCACTTCGTTCTCTTTGTTAGATCCCGACAGACAGCTTTACTAGGTTGTGGCTAGGGTTCCAGAAGCGCACCTCTCTGTTCCCTTCCCTGGAGATGAGCGTTGCTCTCTGTGTCCTACCACAGCTGCGGGAAGGCAGAACCATGCCTCCCCCCAGGATGGCCCATGTGTTTGTAGAGGAAGCCTGTGGAAGGCTCCATAAGACTCCAGGGAAGCCCCAGTGTGGTCCCCGAGGGGAAGAACCCATCCCTTTTTCTTCCTGCTGGTCTTCTCAGCATTTGTGTGGAAAGGCCTCAGACGAGTGAGCACCTGAGCCAGGGAGCCTGGGTGGAGGCTGGATGCTGGCAGTCTCCTCACGTTCACATTTGTCTGAGGGGCTTTGTTCATACGTCCCCACTGCCCCATCCCAAATAAATAGGACATGTTACCAAGTAGGGACGTTCCTCACCTGAGGGGTCCTCTTGGTCAGACCTCTCATTTCCAGAGTGCCCTAGAAACCCCTGTGGCAAGAGGGTAGAGTGAGTGTAGGCTTCTAGATAGTTCTCCTCTTAGGTACTTGTTCACTGCTTGCAGCCTTGCTTTCTGTGAAGCCTGTGTATGCCTGGTACTTTTGCGTGGGCTTCATGGGATGCTGGAGGTAGAAGGTGGGTCAGGTCATAGATGGGGGACCCTGAGCTTTCCCCCATGCTAGGTGTTTGGGGTTGGAGGCCTTATCTAAGGGCAGGAGGAGTGTCTCTGCAAGACTGTGTGTTCTCTCCGGGTACAGTCAGGGAGGTGTGCGAGGGTCCGCAAGTGGACAGGATACTTGTGAATGAGGCAGTTACGTGATGTTTGTTAAGCTCATTATTTTTTAAAGGCCGCAGATGATACCAATTTAAGGGAGGGGCACAAGCTGTGAACAGGTGCAGGGTTACAGGTGGAATGAGAGATGGGGCTGGTATAGCCCTCACTGATGTGTGGTGCAGGTACAACATGGCCACGGAGAAGATGTGTTGCTGCCCCTGGGAAGTCCAGATGAGACAGTGGGGCAGGCCTCTTGCTGAGGAAGGTGGGCTGCGGGACTGTTGGGGACCCCAGGTCAGGATAAGCTGGATTGACTCATGGCATGTGTTTTCCACATTACACCAGAGCATTGAAAAATAACAGATTCTGACCTGAAAACTACCGTTTTCTTAAAAGATGCATGCACCGGGGCACCTGGGTGGCTCAGTGGATTAAAGCCTCTGCCTTTGGCTCAGGTCATGATCTTGGGGTCCTGGGATCGAGCCCCGCATCGGGCTCTCTGCTCAGCAGGGAACCTTCTTCCTTTCCTCGCTCTCTCTACCTGCCTCTCTGCCTACTTGTGATCTCTGTCAAATAAATAAAATCTTTAAAAAAAAATGCATGCACCTTTAAAAAATACTTCTTTTCCTTAAGTGTTGTGAAATCCAGGTCAGATTTATTAGTCTGGAAGACAAGAAGACAGGATGGGGTGGTGTTTGAAGAAATCCCTGTAGGGGACCTTACCAGGGAGTGTTCTAGAACATTTATTGAGGTGGCACAGGCCATTGTCAGAGAAAGAAGCCTGAATCAGAGTTAGTCTTGATTTCTCTATGGGAAACTGTCAGGTCAGGCATATCCCATGAGATAAAAATAAAACAGGAAGTAAGAGAAAAATGGGGGAAAAATGAATAAATTATTCCCTCAAGATGCCACTTTTTCATACTTACAAAATTAAATGTCACATGCATGTCCTGAGCAAACACGATTTATTTATTTATTTATTTATTTATTTATTTTTAAAGATCTTATTTATTTATTTGATAGACAGAGATCACAAGCAGGCAAAGAGGCAGGCAGAGAGAGGGGGGGAAGCAGACTCCCTGCTGAGCAGAGAGCCCGATGCGGGACTCAATCCCAGGACCCTGAGACCATGACCTGAGTCGAAAGCAGAGGCTTCACCCAGGCACCCCAAACACAATTTAAAAAGTCGTTGCCGCCTCCATGATTTCTGCTGTGCTGCTGCTCTTCCTTTGACTAGTGGAGAAAAGCCTGTCGGTGGATCTTTGTTTCAAGAGCTGTTAGCATTTTCTGTGGCGCAGGAGCCTCAAGCCTATGAAGAAAATGTCACAGGACAAAAAAGTCCCTGAAAAGTGACTGTTGTCTCACACCTTGCTCCTAACATCTTGACCTTTCTCTGTTGGTGTGTGCCAGGCACGAGAACGCATGATGGGATGGGGTCAAGGCATCTTGGACACTTGAGCTAAGGAAGGCTGGTTTTTCTTTGTTTAGGGGACTGGTGGCAGTTGCCCCACACCTGTTTGCTACTCAAACGTCCCCGTCGTGTACAGATCCTGCAGGAAATGGGTACACCCAGGACTGGCTCTGTTAAGACCTCAGGTGGTTCGCAGCCCAGTGCTTGGGGCCCTCCACCGGCCCCTTCACTTCCACTCCTGTCTTGGTCTCCCGTAAACACACCAGGTGCTTGGTTGCCCCCTGCCCCAGGCTCTCCCCCTGCTCCCCCCCGCCCCGCCCCAGGTAGTGGCTGTTTGGCCTTTACCTCCTTCCTGCAGGTGGGGCTGCCCTGAACATCCACACTGAACCCACTGACTGTCGAGTGTCCTGCCTGCCTGACTCGGGTCTTGCGGCCACACTGCATTCACAGCTGTTCACATCCCTGTCTTGTTCTCTGCCTCTCCCCCGGCCAACCTGGTAGCCCCTCTGTGGGAGTGCCGAGTTTTGTCTCGATCACTGGGCATCCCTGAGCCTGGAACAGGACCAGATGCCCGAGGGCAGCTCTGTGGGCACGGACCGAACAGGTGTGTGTTTACACCTGCAGAGTGACGCTGCTGGAAGGCAGCGAGCAGGGTGCTGTGTGCACCAGACACCACCGGCCAAGAGGGAGTGTAGGCGTTCTTTTCTCCTTTTTGAAGTATTCTCCTCCAGAGTCACGTTTAACTCTCAACTCCTTTCCGGGCATCTGTTTGTCTCTGTTTCAGGAGCAGGGTCCTCTGAAACACATGTTTACAAATGATGACTCTGCGGAATGTTTGAGATCATTACCTGGAAGATAAAGCAGGTTCTAAAAACTCCGGTTCTTAAACATGTTACCTCCCTGGGAGCAGGGCGCAGGTTTTGAGCTACTTGGAGACTTGAAGTGGCAGGAAGTAAGCGGGGATGCTTACGGTCATCGTGTTGCTCTCTGTTCCAGATGCCATAAGTTCCACTAACCCACGGGTCATCGACGATGCCAGGGCGCGGAAGCTGTCCAGCGACCTGAAGCGCTGTACCTACTACGAGACGTGCGCCACGTACGGGCTGAACGTGGAGCGGGTCTTTCAGGATGGTGAGTGCTCCTGGCGCAGCCGGGTCCCCTTCCCATGGCGCAGGGTCCCGTCGGCAGACACACGGGCCTTGGTGTGAATCCGGGGGCCCCTCTGTGCCGAGTTGGTGCTCAGCTGCATGCAGCGGTCCACAGGGAATCCTATGTGGCACGCTCGTGATGGGACTTTCTGTGCACGGGGTGCGACACCGCCCATGCTTATTTCTGCACGTGATGGGTCACATGTACACATTTGCCATTTCTTTTCCACCATAGCTGCTCATTCTTAACCCCAGCCCATCTCTAAAAACAGTCTGAAATATTTGCTGTTAGGCTTTGGGGAGAATAAACCAAAAGAGAGTCAAGTTTGAGCCAAAAAAACCCCAAACAAACATAAAACCCAACACCACCCCCACATTAAGACTCATGGCTGAGAGCCAGCACCACAATTTAGGAATTGTTTCTTTGTTGCTGAATTCATTAGTGATCACCCGCCCCCAGAACAGCCGGGCAGCAGCCTGGAAGCCCTCCTGGAGAAGCATGGGGCTTTTATGGGGCAGAGACAGTCTTGTACAAGATCAAAGTGGCGGGCTGGGAAGTGGGAGGGGATGGATGAAGACGTGGGGGAGGTGGTGGGAGGGAGGAAAGTGTTGGGAGGGAGGGCTGGTCTCTGGTCTGGAGGGGTCCGGAAAGTCTGGGGGAAGGCGAGTCCCTAGGCCTGAAGGGACAGTACTCCCTGCAGAGGGTCCTGATGTCCATGGGGAGTTGTGGGGAGTCACTGCCAGGCCGTCCCCCTGGCCCCCCATCTGGCTGACCTCTGTGGTGGCAGAGCAGACCACCCAAGCCGTGGGTCATCCCGGTCTTGCTGGCCCAGACCCCAACAAAGACATGTTTCTGCCAGGGCAAGCAGTAATTACATGCCTGCATCTCCGACCTCCCCAAACCGGGCAATATATGCTCGTCTTCTAAATGCCCAGATGAGTTTTCAGATGGAATTGGAGAAATCCCATACTTGGACCATTTTTAGGACATTTCATAGATTGGGTCCTCTCCAAACCTTGCATTTTCTTCCCTTTTCCACAAGAGCTGGTCCTGTTCTCAGCTCGAAGCCTCTTTCCCTGCACAGTGACCGGTCCTCCCCCCTTCTCAGCCCGTGTGCCCTCTGGGTCCTCCCTGCCTCCCCAGCGCCTGTTCTGAAACAGCGGCGTCCCGCTGAGGAACAGCACGAGGGCCTTCCTCTTTTTGGCACACATTTACAAGCCCCCTGGCCATCCCCCTCCCATCCCCTCCCCTCGCCATCCGCCTCCCTGCTGGAGCCTGTGATGGCCCATGGGCGCCCGTACTTATGTGAAGAGCCATGCGCGGAGGCTCAGGGGTTTCCGGGGGTGGGGAGGGGGCGCCCTGTGGGGCAGGCAGCCCAAACCTTGTGGGGTTACCGCAGGTGATGGTCACCAGGCTGGGGCGCACGGGCTGCTGCTGGCCAACCACCTGTGTCTGTGTCCCCTGGGGCGCGTGGGTGGGCTGCTCTGGTTGCCACAGAGGCCTGTGCACATCACCCCGCCAGGCCCGAAATAGCTCCTCTCTGGCCCTCTGCAGCAGTTTGCCCGCCCCTGCTGGCGGTTTTAGGAATTTTATCCCATGAATGAGCTGATTCTCCATAGTGATTGCTTTACCTGTGCGTTTATCGCAGACATGAATTGTTCATCAATAAATGAGCTCATACGTAATAATTGTAAGAGTTGGTCCTCACTAGGGGATGCCCAGGTCCCGTGCTTCCCTGCCCTGCCCCCGCTGTCTGTGAGGGGGAGCACCAGCAAGGGGAGAAGAGGGAGGACCTTTCCAAACAGCATTACTGTATCCTCTCCCAGGGCTTCTCCTGCTGCGATTTGACAAAGCACCTGAGTTTTCACAGGCTCAGGAGATTTCCAATACATTTTATTACTTCTTATTTTAGAAATAATGCATCGTTGTTAAATATTTGAACTGTACAGAGTCAGAAAAGGAAATAATACTCATGGTACTATGGTTTCTGTGACTATTATGATTTTGTCTTTAAAATATTTCTATTTATATGAAGATCAGTTTTAAAAATAAAATTAGGGCTTACTCTGCATGTATTGTAGGAGGATTATATCTTTTTGTGAAATCATGAGCTCTGTAATTGTTTTATCTGTGGTAAAAGTCGTTGCTGACCAAGTGGGGACTATGCTCAGTATTTAAAAGCCATGAACAGTAACAATCCATTTTAATCCTTAAGGAGAAAAGAAACCTCATAATGTTTAGAGTTTAAAGAAATCAAGGTTTAGAAAAATTACGGAGCTTAACCAGAGGCATCGGGTCTGGATGGGATGCCTGTCTTGGGACCAGGAGCCCAGAGCCTTAACCGTTCTGTCATTAAAGCCTCAGTGATGTGGGTCCTGCCTGGTCCCCTGGGGGAGCCTGGACAAGGGTGCACAGCGGGCTCCCCACCCACTCAGACTCAGGCCATTCAGATTTCTCGGTGGACTTTTCCGGCTTCCTTTACGCCTTAGGACTTGCTTTTATTTATGTGCTTTTTGTATCTTCGCATCATAGAAAGAGAAAGAACGAGCATGTGGTTTCTACGTAACATTTAACTTACTCCTGAAAGGAGGACACAGGCCTGGCTCTTAGACCAGCCAGATGCCCCCGCTCTTGCCCCTGCCCCCGCCCACCAGACTTAGTGGTCGACTGGCTCCCTGAGTTTATTTTTTAAGATGCCAGGGACTATAGTCTTTGCTTCTTTAACTCGGAGTTCTTAGTATCCTGAAAATGAAGACAAATTGTGAAATTAATGGAGAAAGAGAATGCCTACTTTTCTCTCCAGGGTGTAGTTCTCACACGGCTCTTAGGAAGGAGTCCAGGACACAGGGTCTCCGTCAGCCCCGGGGGTGTCCAGAGGCCGTTCAGCAGGTGGATGCCCTCACCCAAGCAGCAGCCTTGCTCACACCGAGTCTCTGGTTCGGGGTCGAGAAGAGGGGATGGTACAGAGGGAGGGCCCCTCCCTCGGCAAAGTGGAGGGCTAGTGCCCAGAGATGGAAGCTTGCCCCTTCCCCAAGGTTGGAGGGCAGGTTGTGAAGGACCGGGCTGCCTTGCTCACAGTGATGCTGGATCATCGTTGATCCTGCTCCTAGCTAAGTCTGTGTGGCTTGTGGAGCAGAATGTCTGGCCTCCATGAGGGGGTTCCTGTAAATAAGATTCACCTGCTGAGAAATCACATACTCCCCAGTTCTCCCGCATCTGGGCTACCGGGCCTCACATGGGCGTGGTTACCCGTCTGTCTGTCTGTCTGTCTGTCTCTCTGTCTGGATTCGCAGAAGAGCCCTGCAGGGAGCTCCGGGCCTCACAGGCTGGACCAGGGGATTGAGGCAGCCAGGGCTGCGTATGGCCCCCCACCTGCCGTGTCTTTCCATCTGTCCAATTCTGTGCAGCTCTGGTCACCGTCGGCCGTGTCTACAAGATTAGCTTCAGGCTTTTGTAGTTTTAACATTATAACGGTGATGTCCGTGCTTGGCATGAAATTTTTCAGAAGTCCCTGGTTATTTGTTCTCTTGGCCTGGATTCCTGAAGGCCAGGATTACAGAAAAATGATGTTCACTCTCTGCAGATATTGTTTGTCTGGTGCTAAGATTTTTATTCAAGAGAAGGTCCTCTCGCTCTCTGAAGGAACCAGCCAAGTGGGACAATCTCTTGCCGTGAGCACGTTTCCTGCCACTTCAGTTGAGTATCTGGGTAGGGAAAGGCAGGTCATGTTGGTGATGGGATGTTTCAGCCGAGATAGGGACAACCTAAAATGAATATAACTTAGTGACAGGAATAAATCCTTCCCCTAGACCAAGCCGTGCTGAAGGGCAGTGAAGAGCCATGTGTGGAAGTGGTCGGAGGGCCCCTTGGACCATTTATGTGTGCCATTTTGAGAGAAGAAAGGGGACACTGACTCCCCATGTTCCTGAGGGAACATTTGGAGTTTTAGTTCCTTGAGGTTGGGTTCTGGAAATGATGAATTCTCCTCTCTTTCCAAACACACTTAGATTTCTCAGCCTACACAGAGTGTCCCTATTTATGGCCTATTTTGTTTTGATGGCAGTGATTGTACAATGGGTATGCGAGGAGCGTAGTGATTTGGGTCATAGTGCAGTTCTCTTTTTCAAACTCAGCTTGATGTAGAAGCAGTTTTTGGTGTATTAAGACGTTTTGTGAAGTAGAACCAATAGACCCCCTAAGTGTTTGGGGAGGTATATTTTATAATTTTTAAATATTACGTTATCTGACTGGTGTGTGATGTTTTAAAGATATCTGATATATAAAGAAAAGCGGTTTCTCTTTCATGTGGAATGTGTAAAACCTGATGGTGGTACAAAATATTTAATTTTCCCTTATCCAAGCTCCTTTATGAGTTTTTTCTCTAGCCCTCCCTCCCTCTGCTAAAATGAGCAGATAAATACTTGTATTGTAAAACAGCAGTGTTCTATATACAGGTCATTCCTGTTATGAATCCTGACGCCAGCTGTTTTTTTACAGAATGTAATACTCTTACATGTAAACTCTCAAACTGTCATCACTTGTTAAATCCGAACTGAAAACACCCTATTAGACATTAGAGCATGCTGCCCTGTAAAGCTTTAACTTCTTGTCTTAAGCTTGTTTTCATAGGATGGTGGGAAAACTGTATGCAGCATTTCACTCTGACAGTAATTGTTCGGACCCAGTCAAGATCTGTATAAGCAAGATGTAAATCAATTACATGTCACTGTCTGTCTCCCTGACGCTCCCCGAGACGGCTGGGTCTGTCCTGTGTTGTTGAGAGTACCTGGGTCGTTGAGTGATCTCCCGGGAAGACCGCTCACCCTAGGGTAGATGTTCTGCGTTACTTCCATTAAAAAGAAACCATTCGGTTTGAGGTGCATGAAGGTGGGGAGGCAGGCCGGTCGCCTCAGCAGGGTTGTGTGCACTGGTAGCTGCGGTCTGGGCTTCCTGGTGCAGTGTCCTGCAGTGCCGGTATGGGC